TCTTTCGACAGATGAGCCAGAGGAATTTCTACTGCAGGGCTCAATTGTTCTGGGCCCTCAGCTCCCTTTTGTGCAGGAGCAATGAAAAGTTGTGTTATGACAACGGTTGACAAAGTGTTTAATGAAAGCCACAGTTGGCAGTGACAGAATTTCAAGCCATCCTCCTTTTCTCCAATACCTGTCATCAAAAGGTGCAGAAATGCTTTTGACATAATCTTCTGCACTGACAGATAAATGGTTTTGATGTGAGGGTTGGAAACTTTCACCTTGCAGAACAGAATTCAGCCATCATCGTGGTGGACAGAGACCAGGAGCTGTGAATGTCTCTTGTTCCTTTGTCTGGTTTTCAGCAGAGAGCTAGGTGGCTTTTCTCTGCACTGGTCAAGGTCCCAAAGCAGAGCCAAAACTTGGACATAAACTCCTGGTCTGCCCTGCACCTGGCCTCTCATAGGTCAAAGAACTGACTGATCCCTCTCACTGCAAGCAGGACTCTTTCTCTGACGGCATTGTTTCTTTTGGGAGGTAGTTTGAGCATACCCAGTTATTTAACAAGTCTTCAGTCTCTGCAGAGTTCAGTGATAATGCCACTTTCATAATGCCAGCTGAAGGCAAACACTGCTTTCTTATTTAGAGACTAGAATAACTGAAAAGACAGAAGAGGGCCCTTCCCATATTGCTTTAACAGCCTCTCAGTTCCTGATCACAGGCATCTTAGTGACAGGAGGGGAAAACCCTGCATTGTTGGATTAGCCAGTACAAGGAAGACTTAAATGGATAAATAATATGCAGAACACTTTTCATGCCAGTAAATCAGAATAAAGTTTAAAAACATTCACCAGCTTTTCCTTTTCAATAGAAGCTGTATGGAAAAAACAACCTGAATGTTAGAGGCCACTCAGGTTGGTTGTTTTGTTCTTCCTCCTCTGCCAGCTGTAGAAAAGTAAGCTTTGTAGGATGCTTCCCTGAACTCACAGCTCAGGCTCTTGAATTTATATAGTAGACTTCTGTTTTCTTTCTTTCTTGGAGGGATCAAAATATCCTTCCTTGAGTAATTCAGCATACCCATGCAGAGGAGCAGGGCACTGAGCAGTTTGTGGGCAGCCCCACTTTTGGGTCAGCTAACCTCACCTGTAGGTGCTGGGAAATGGGCAGAACATGCACCAAAGCCATGGGCTCTTGGAACTGGCATAAAACACTGCAGGTGATGCTTTATAAACTGGCTTTGAGGAGATGCTCAGGGTGAGAGATACCTCAGAGGGCTGGGCAGGTGCTGGTTTGGGAAAGGATGGGGTTTTGGTATTGGAAGCTGATGGCTCTCTTTCTGTGAGAAAGACATTTGGAAAACTGATGGCAGGAACATTTATTTGGTGATTCATTGGGCAGCTGTGGCATCATCCCAAGGGCTCCTTGAGAAGGGATGCATTCTGTGCTGCAGAGGAACAGCAAATGTTCCAGCTTGCAGTGATGGGACAGCTGTGCCCTGGGCTTGGCATCTCCATCAGCCTGCACTGCTGGTCTGCTCAGCTCAGAGAGGCCAACCTGGTGGGGACATTAAAATCCTGCACTGCTTCATTCACTGCTGGACATTTGGGACCCACATTTAGGGGTGGGAGAGCATCCTGTGCACCCATGACCTCAAGTTTTGAGCTCCCTCCTTTATTTGCATTACTGGAGCCCAACCAAGATTGAGGCCTCATTTCATCAGCATCAGGCAAAGCAAGACAATACCTACCTCAATTTTATTTACAGTCTAAATAGACAAGACAGACAAAGGGTGGCTGTGGAAACAAAAGCTCTGGAGAGGTGATGTGACATGACCGGGTCACACAGCAGGAGATGAAGAGAGCCAGGAACAGACAGAGGTTTCCTGCCTCTCAGTCCCAGTGATCTGTCTATTGAAACATGTTAATTCTTTCTCTCACTTCAGTGCTGTGACTGGTATGCCACACTGCCTAGTGAGGGGATCAGAGTTCTGGGAAGCACATCCTTTGATTGCTAATGCTTCAGGCTAGAAATTCTTGGGTTTTTAATATAAGTTAAAATACAGCTAGTGCCAGAAACTCAGTAAACTTTATTTTGGCGTATCTATGTAATTTCAAGTCTCCCGTTTGTTTTGTACTGACTCTATTTCTAGCTTTCATTTCCCCACTGATTTTTGAGCAGTGTAGTGCACATTTAGTGAGGTGGTTGGGGTGAGTAATGTGGAGAGAACTGAAGACTTGGTGTTCAAGAGGATGGAGTTCACCTGAATTTCTGCAGCAGATGTTGGGAAGTCTTTCTGTTGCTGGTGCAGCAAAATCTCTTTGTGCTATCTGAAGAGCCAGCTACTTGTGCAGTGACTTTGATGTTCAAATGTCCTGAATGGCAGAAGCAATAATCAGAAACTCACTTTGGCTGATGTTAAACTGTGGCTGTGAAATCCTTTAATTTATGAAGATGTTTGTTTTTCACTTGTGAGCTTTGGAGGTTCCTATCAGCATCACTCAGTGCTTGAGCACAGGCTAAAACAGGGACCTGGTCCCTCTGGCAAGCGCAGGGATGGCCAGTTCTGGTGCATGTGTTCTTGTTTCTTGCTTCATAAAACAGCCCCTTAGCCTATTGCAGAGGAATGTGTTGAGGAGAAATACATTACCTGAAAAATGTGAAGTTTGGCTGCAGTAAAAGGCACAGAAATACATGAAAACAGATGGATTCATGCACCATCATGTCTGGCTGTATTTCCCCCTTTTAGTTTGTCACTTGTGTTTCTGTGTTGGTTTTATTGTGGTGAGCCTGTAGGAGGTTATCTGTTGTATTTTCTCTTTTTGCCTGTAGATCAGGCAGGGGCAAGCTTCAGCATGATCTTACTGTGTGGTTAAAAAAAAAAGTAGTAATGTAATCTGTGGGCAAATTGCACTTTAATTCGTAATTGTGCTATGAATATGGACTTGGCTTTCAAACACCCTCTGAGTTTAAACTGCAGTTTGACTTTTATTTAGATAAATGCCTTTGAGTTCATAGTGAAATGGATATCTGCTGTAGGCTGGTATTGATTTAAAGGTCTCTTGAGTGTTTTAAAAGACAGTAGGGGCTTACAGGACAGCATATTTTAAACTGAGATGCTTGGTTAGATTTTACACTCCTCTATAACTTCAGCTCTAGGCTCTGTTAAGAGCCAGCCTGTGTTGCTGATTTGTGGAGCATTCTTCCACAGCAGGTATTGGCAAAAAAAATTGAACATTTTGGGCAAGATGCAAGGAGCTGAAATGATGGGGAATGGTGTGATGTGAGAGCCATCAAATGATTCCCTGGTGCAGGGGAACGCTTTGAGGACTTCCCATAAATGCATTACAAGAGGGCAGGTGATCAATATCTGCTTTTTAGCTTGAAAGAGGTGTTTATCACTTCCTGCAAAGTTGGTAAGCTTTGTAGTCTTTCAAGTCTTGCTATTTGCAAGGCTGCTGTAAGCCTGGATTTCTCTGTGCATTGCCACAGAGTGCAGTGTGTCAGTGTGAAGGCTTCAGGAGAGATTTTCCATCAGTGCTCTTCTGGCAGCTGCCTTTTCTTTGTGTGTGCCTCAGCTCCTGTGTCATGGAGCACTGGTGGAAGTTCAGTGGGTGCATTGGTGACTTAGATCCTGTCTGGGTTCCAGACCTGCTTGCTCTCTGTGGGCACAGGTTTAAAGCAACAAAAATCCCAAACCAGGGAAGGAAGATTGGCCAGTTTTCTAGTCAGACTGGCTTGGTGGTTTGAATGAGCAGCTCAGTGTTTGAGGGCTTATCTAAAATCAAGCTGTGAATCTTTTGGGCTGTGTTCAGAGGTGCAGTAAGAGGGTGTAACCTCCCTGCAGAGGAGGCAGCAGGGCTGAATTTTACCCAGGGTAATATCCGAGAGCAGGGTGTGGAGCAAAATAAAATTAAAGAAGTCCTCCTCACAATTTCCTTACAATTTACTGTGGTTGCTGTTCTGCTACCACCCATCAATTTGCCTCCTCCCTCTTTAGATTACACTCTCACAGAAACATGCCAGCACTGCATACAGAAGGGTAATTAAAGCACTTGTTACTTTCTGCATCATTAGTCACTTGGTCTTAATTGATCTGGTTAGTCCTGGCTGCAGGTTTGACCTGTCCTGTGTGCAGTGCTGAGAGTGCACATCTTGGAGGGAAGGCTCTGCTGTTGCACTGTGTGATGCTACAGCAGAGCATGGCAAAGCTCTTGCTTGTGGCATCTGGAATTAGCACTTAATTTTCATTATTTTGCCTGTTTGCTGTCCCTAGCAATTGCTGCAGTGTGTTCCTTCCTGCAGCATGTTAAGCTCTGGATGTGTTTTCAGTCAGGGATGTCCTGTGAGGCAGATCTGCTCTCCCACCAGGCTGCACAGCCCGTTTGCCATCCATCAGTGCTAGAATACTATTGAGGTTTAGATTTGGGCTGTTGGATAGCTGGAAAGTGTTGGCTGGGGTTGTTGAGGACCAAAGTGTGTTATACTGCATGGCTTGAAAGCTGCATTCACTGATTTAAAAAGAAATCAGTGACAGACTAATTATATCATCTTGTTAAAAAATGTAGAATATATTGCATGCTTACACATAGCAAGTGTACATATGTGTATTTTGTGTGTAACACACAGTGGTACAAAAAATACCCTGTGTGAATATAGCTATAAAATATTTAGTGGAATGTTTGTTGATTGTTTCAGTTCAGGCTTTAATTTGTCAGGAAACATCCTATTTGTCTGTGATTAGTTTTGTGGTTGGAAATAATCAATAGTAGAATAATAAATGTAATTGTGTAATATGAAGACAAATTAAAACCACACTAATCTAATGCAAAAGAGGAAGAAGCTTGGGGAGAGCTAGATAAGATTTTTGTCATGGAACTAAACTCACTTGTGTATTCAGCAGAAAAGTGCTGCTCTCCTGTTTAGGTTCTCTTTAAAAAAAACCCAAAACCCAAACCCTCCTAGTGCAATCCAGAATAATTAAGATGACTCTGTTTTGCTGAGCAGGGTGACTGCATTTTGCTGATCCCTCTGTCTTTTATTTTAACAGAAACCTGAGCTACAACAAGTTGGCAGAGATTGATCCTTCTGTCTTTGCAGAGCTGTCGAACCTGCAGGAAGTGTAAGTATTCCTTCAAAGGCTTTAATTGTGTTTTGCCATGGCTGCTTGTGGGCTGTGAGGAAATTATATCTAGTTTCCTAAGACAGTACCTTCCTTTAGCGAAGTTGAATGAGCAGGTCTGACTTGGTGTGGAGGTTTTTCTCCCTCTCTATTGTATCTGGGCTGCTTTTTTTAAACTAATCAATGGGCAGAACACAACATCCCAATTAAAACAGCAGAGCTGTTATTGGAAATCATTGGAGTTTGCCTCCCTGGGTGTTGTGCAATGCTCGGAGGCAGCAGTTGAGCACACCTGAGCACACACAGAGCTCCTTGCTGAAAGCACAACCCTGAAGCAAGGCACAGCAGCCTGGATTGTGACACCTGATGCCAACCTAGCCCAAATCTCCCAGGAAACAAAGGTGTAGTGTAGTGGATAACAAAGCACTTAACTGTGCCTCCTCCTCTCCCAAACATTTGTGCTCCTTTTGGAACCAGAACAAGCTCTGCTGGAAGTGTTGCTAGAAGAGGCTAAACCAGCAGAGCTGTCCCCTGGCTTGGTGGGGAACAGAGGAGCTGCTGAAGGTCTGAGTGGCTGTGCCAGCCCCTCCTTGCTGTAAAACAAACCCATTTCAGGGAATGCAGGTTTTCCAAGCTCCTGATCTCTGAGAATGCTCAGCAGTTTCACTCAGAGAGGGGCTGCACTGTCAGCCCTTCACAGGGGTGCCTGGAGTTCTGATTTTGGGGTTTAAAAACTAAAAACCAAAAGTGCCTGAGATGGCAGGTGGTGGGCTGAGGTAATGAGCTGTGTTTGCCTGGTGAATCGCTGGCATACTTGAGGTTTGGGCTCTGTTTGAAGAGCTACTGCTGCCTCATGGGAAACTGAAAAAACATTTCCTTTCAGAAACAATACTGTGCTCTATCAAGGATTTGCTCTTGTCCTCCGTCTGTTTTCATTAAGTGTTGGCTCTTGGACTTGTGGAGGGGCCAGATCCTGTGATTCTTAAATAGGCAAAAAGTGGAATTCTCCCTGGCTGATGGCTGCTGGATTGGACTGTGGAGATTCATGCAGCATCTCTCTCATGGCCTGATTGCCCCTGGCTCTTCTATTTACATGAATAGTAGGGACTTGCTGGGAATCATGAGTAAGTGAGGAATGGATATTAGGAGTGACTGCAGTGCTCTGAAATCAGCTCTGCACAATCTTTAGAGAGAAAGTGATGTGGGTCAGCAGAACACTGCCTGCAGGATCTGTTTTCTCAACTTCTCTTTTCACTGTGGAAAGCCTTAAATTGCTCTGTGCTTAAAGGAGAGAATTGCAGCCCTGATTTATAATTATCCTGACATGACTGTGGCTTAGCAATAGCTTTTATTCATGGAAGTGCCTGAAGGTGTGTGACTTCAGGGAGCACAGGGTGGGAAATTGGGAAATGTGTGTGGCTTCTGATTCCCCAGGTAGGGAATTCCCTTGAGCAAAGTGCTGTGCATGTGTGTAGAGCAGTGAACAGTTCCATGCTGTAGAAAGGTGTCAGGGTTTCTGGGGAGATAAGTAATGCAGCCACAGTGTAATGGGTAGATAAGAGCTGCTTGCTGTGTCAGAAGGACAGGGTTAGGGAATGGGGAGAGAGCAGAAGAGTGAGTAGGAGGGAAAGGGAGCAGTCAGAAATGGGAGACTGGAGGGGAGGCAGAGGTCTGGAGCAGAGCCTGGAAGGCAGTCTGAGGGAGAAGCTCTATTAAAAACCCTATCTACTAATCTTGGTTGCTTTTGAATAACAGCTAAACCACAGACCACTGAAATAAACTTCATTTCACAAGGAGAACCACATCTCTATTGCCAGAGCATCTTCTCTCTGAGTTTTTTTTTTTTTTTAAAGCACTTGACAAACATTCATGAAATAAGCATCATGCTGTGGCATGTCTCGAGAGCAAGTCAGTGTTTCTCTGTGCATGCTGTGCTGGGCAAACCAAGGCACCCTCAGGGAAAGAGATTGCCCCAAATAATAGATGCATTGATAAGAGCTGAACCTCCCATGATGCTTCAAACGTGCTGTCTGTGGTTCCTGAGCATTGCACAAGGCTTAAAACTCTGTGTGTGTCTCTCCATGTGAATAATTACTGTGGTATATTTTGAAAACATTTTGTTTTCCCTTGATTTAAAGAAAATATCTGCAGACCAAAAGATTGAAACTTCATCCCTTATCTTCATGCTGTGCTTTGCTTTCTGAGATTGTGATAAAGTCAGAGTAGAATTTACCCTATGCTTCTCCCTGAGTTTAGGCAGTTGTTTGTGTGCTTTGTTTTGGTGGCCTTTATGAGAAGCTTGTAGAGAAGTTTTAAGTGTGTGTAGGATGAAATTTAGTGGTTCAAAGTGATCCCACTTGCTCTGAAATAAGTGGGGGAGGCTCAGGGTAGGGGCTGGACTGGGACATTATTTTCCTTCAGGACACTTGATCTTCTATCCCCTTTGGTGCCTTCATGTGGTGACAATCCCCTGGTGCCCATCCATTCTCATTCCATGGATGGATGGAGGGTGCTGCTTGTGGGATGGGCCCTGTGCCCCTTTCTGGCGTTTCCCCAGCTCATGTGGCTCATGGAGTCCCCCAAACTGATGGTTTCATGGCTTTCAAGCTTTCCAGGCTCATTGGTAGCAAATAAAAGTAGTAACCAAGCTAAAATTCCTCTCCAAACAACTCACCTTTTCTTTTCTAAAGTGCCTTTCAGTGAAAGCTCTGGAGAGCTGTGCTATTTTTGAGCAGGCTCCATTTCAGCTTGACACCAGCCTGGCAACTGGACTGTAAATATTTTATATGGGTGCTCCCCCCCCCCTTCCTCCTCTGCCTCAGCATCCAGAGGGTTTGTGTTGTCAAAGGTGAGGGCTGAGGAAGGAGACTGAAAGTTTTTTAAGTTGTTGAGCCCAGCTGCTCTATTTTGAGGGTTTTTTTTTTCCCCCTCTTTTTTTGTTTTTTATTTTTCAATTCCTTTACATAGGGAAAAAGAAAAGATGAGTGGGAAATCCCAGGCAAATACAGAGCTTGGCTGTCTCCTCTGTGTCAGCAAATGGTGCCTGTGAGCCAAGAGAGAAAATGAGGTGGGAGAATCACTTCTGACTGATTCCTGCCATGGCAGGAGGCTGATATATGAATATCACACTTATGTCAGAGCAGGGTTTGACCAGTTGTTAGATGCTGCTTGGTGTCAGAGCTGCTTAACCAGAGCTGACCCAGGCTCCTTCTTCTCCTGAAGATGCTTAATGAAAACATGCTCAAATAAGCATTTTAATGCTCTTTCCAGCTTGCTCTGTACCTTTGGAAGCTCCAGACCATGTTGTAATATGAGCAACAGTGAGCTTTTAGTTGCAGAGTGGAGCTCCTTGCTGAATTGCAATGCATCTGGCTTTTTTCCCTTACGTTTTAAGGCATGGGTATAATGTCAGAGGCAGAGGAAAGCTTTTATCCCAGCAGTGCTTGGAACTCCTCGTGAAATCAAATATCTTGCCTCCTCTCAGAGGAGCCAGAAGGGAAGTTCTGGGATAAATGTGCCACTGCCCTCTCCCACCTGCCAAAAATAGTGTTAAAAGGAAAGAAGAGGGAAAAAAACCAACATAATTTAAGATTGCCCCTACTCATGCCTGTGGCTTAGCAACCCTGGGCTGTGCAGCTCTGGGATGCTGTGCTTTGCACCCAAATTGTGAACTTTTTGGGGATTTTCTGTAAAAGGAGAGCACTTGGAAGGCCCAGAGTGACCAGGGGTGGTTTGGGGGTGCTGGGGAGCCTGGCCAGGGCTTGGCTGTGATCACTGCAGTGAGAGGGGGGAGTGGGTGAGGAGACTGAGAAATTAGGTAATTTTCAGGCAGCCAGACGAGCGACTGTTAGAGTAATTAATTGACTAATTCACCGTACAAACAAGGGCTCTTTAAAGCAAGGAAGAGCCAGTCACATGGCAAGGATCTGCTTTCAGTCAGGAAAACACTTTGAAGCATTAGGCCCTGGCAGAGGACGTGTCTGTGCTGGTGGTGCCATTAACCAGGGGCTCTCTGTGCTCCCCAGATGCCTGGCCTGGTGACATTTCTGTGCCTGGTGACATTTCTGTGCCTGGTGACATTTCTGAGCCCAGCACTGCTGCCTTTGTGGAGAAATCCCTCTGGGATTTCCAGAGCTGGGCCTGCTGTGGACAGGATGCCATCAGGTTGTGCCCCCAGGCCCTGACCTGGTGTGAGCAGGGGAAGGGTTAAATTTCTGTCCTAAGCCATGGCACACATGGCTTTAAGGTGCAGAATTCTCCTGTCTCTGGTTTGATTCTGGAAACACAGGCTAGGGGAGGGCTGTGGCACAATGCTTTCCTGCCTGGCGCTTTGGGGAGGGGATGGCAGGGGGGAAAGGCCTAAAATCAAGGTGTGGCCATCAGAGGCCCAGAAAAACCTCTTCGTATGGAGGGTTCTGCCTCAGTGCCAGCCCTCCCCTGCTCCTGTAGGCCTGGGCACATGCTGCTTGCCTTCAACCCTGGTTTCTGTTTCTTGCAGGAGGCTGGACCACAACGAGCTGAGTGCCATTCCCTCGCTGGGCTCTGCTGCTTCCAGCGTCCGCTCCCTGTACCTGTAAGTCACTGTCACCTCCTCTGGCTCTCTCTGGGGAGGGTTCAGCTGCCTCTGGGAGCTTCATGGATGTCACACTTGTTCCTGCTGACTCTAGAGTTTGGTTTTTGGCTTGTTAAGAAATGTAAGAATTAATTAACCTTAATTAAGAAACATCATCTGGAGTAGTGTGATTTGTGTGAGGTTGTGTGTTGTGCTTATGGTTAGTGGTAACTCAGGTCAGTAAATTCCACAGGTCGAATAAAACTTCTTTTTTCTCATCTGCCTTTAAGTTTCAACCATTAGGTCATACCTGTGGTATTAAATTTTACATTTGCTTTATTGTTCTTTTTATTCCTGGCCCTGTTCTGATCATTTCTTCTTTCCCCTTAAAGCCAGAGAGTATTCATATCTTAATCTTTTAGGGAACTCATTCCAGACTTGTTTTTATTATTTCTTTCAACTTCTTTTTAACATTTTCTTTTGAGATTTCTTTTTCTCAGAAGAAATCATGCAGTGATTGCGAAGCATGATCTGCACAAGGTTTGAAGTTCCTAACTTTGGTAGTCTAGATGGCCACAGAAGCATCAGACACCTGAGAGCCCTTGTGTATTGACCACCAAGGATCTTGGGTCCATGGTGCTGCTGAATGAAATAAAATATTAAAATATAAAACTATTTAGTATCTAAAGAGTGTGGATTTCTGAAAATTAATTTTTGCATGTGTGTGCTTGTACTGTGCACTGAGAAGGAATTTTGCTGAGGTATGCATGATACCTCCCAGGTTCCTGGGAAGTGTTTATGGCTAACAGGGACTCCAGCAAAGTGCTGGAGCAGTTCAAGTGGTGGCTTCCAGCCTGCATGGCCCTGTGGATTTGGTGCTTCTTGTGGTGGAAAATCATCTGTGACCACACCACCAGCTGATTGGCCTCTCTTGCTCCAAAGGCTCTGACTTTTTCTGAGGCAATCTTTATCTGCTGACTTACTGTGCTGCCACATTTGTACTGTGCACTAGCCTTTGAAAAAGACCTCCAGAAATCTGATTTATGGATGGAAAGCTTGCACAGAATTTGCCATGCAGGGATATAGTTTTAGGCCCCCCAGATTGGCTTCTCTTTCTCATGAAGTCTATAAATGCTCTGAGTTCCACAAGCCCCTGTTGTTATTTTTTGCTATTAATTTCGCTGTTGGCAAAGAACCAAATTGCAGGAGCTTTGGGTTTTTTATTCCTGAAATGAAATGAGCAGTTTGGACAAGGGGAATAATGGCTTGTGGAAGGCAGTAGATTTACAGCTCCTCTGAAATTTCAGAGTGGTGCAGAAGGAAGGAGAAGCTACAAAGCCAAATGATAAAAGAATGGTATTCTGAACAAACCTGCTTAGTATCACTTTCCAGAAATCTGAATTGCTCTCCTCAGCTGCTGCACATAAATAACTCTGATAGCAGGATTTGTAATACTGCTGTCATACTGCTGCAAGAAGGGTCTCTTTGTTCAGCTTGTATTAGAGAATGCCACATCTTTTCCCCCTTCCATTTCCTTTTAATTTTTATCAGAGATAAAAATAACCTGAATGATGTTTTAAAGTACCTGCTCCAATCAATGTTGCTGAGTCACATTGGAATGATTTGCTGAGGAAGTGAAGTTTTCTCCATCTTTGGGAGTCTTTAATCAATTGCTTGGCTTCCTAAAAGATGGGCTTTTAGTTCAACCCTAGGTTAATGGGCTTGATAGGCAAATTGGTGGGTAAAGTTTAGCCTTGTGTGGTGTGAGGAATCAGATTATATGGTCATACTGGTTTCTTCTGGCTTTCCAATCTGTGAAGTAATAATTGGGGAGGCTGCCAAACCAAACCCAGGGTGAAGACTCATAATGAAGACTTGTGTACTGAGAAACTGGTTTATGTTTAAGTGTATAGTGTTACAGTGTATTCTTAATGCTAAAGAAAAATAAATACATTTCCTTTTTGTTTTTTTCAGTGTTTAGAAATGTGTGAAGTGTGTTTACCTCACAAACCTCTGAAGTAGGTTTTGTATATTGCATGTGGTTAAGTATTTCCAAAGGACTGTTAATGTATTATAAAAGCAAGGCTTGTGTATTTGTCACTCAAAACATCCCTTCTGAATGAGTTATTTCATCTCCTACTCTTCCTAAACAGCAGAACACACTTTTTCTCATTTTGGGGCTGGGAGAAACAATACTGCCAAACTCAAATTTTCCATAAAGTTTGGTGGTTGTGTGGGTTTTTTTGGGTTTTGCTTTTTTTTTTTTTTTTTTTTTTTTTTTTTTTTTAATGAGCTCTGCTTTGCATTCCCTGCTTTTGGGTTTTCCATACCTGTCTCCATCACCCAAAAATTGCCTGACCCCACATGTGTGAGGACCAAAGGCCAGTTAAATATATGTGTAAGCATGTGAGAATCTGCTGAAGAGAGAATTCTCAGAGCTTTCTGCAAGCCTTTGGATGTCCCAGGCTGCAGATGGATGCAGACATAACATATGTACCAAAAATGCTTTGTCCTGATACCCTGCCATGAAGTTTGGTTCAGTTCAGTTATTCCTCGAAGAATCAGTTTGTTTGCCTTGCATGTTGAAAATATTGCCAGAGTCGTTCATTTCAGCAAGAGCAAACATAAGGGACTTGATAAGGCTTTTAATAGAACAGAAGGGAAAAATAATCTATGTAGGGGTTACCAAATAAAGACAGACATTAAATGCAAACATCTGTTAGTGCAAACAAAAGCCAGGAAATTCAGCTGGGAGGGGGAGAGACCGAGTCTGGATTCATTCCGAAATTACATCGGAATAGCTGAGAGGAGAACCTTGCCTGCAATTCCCACAGCATTTGTAATTTAGTTACAGTTCCTAGACTTGGACATTGGGGAGTTGATGGCAGGATGTTTTCACTGACATGCCCTTGGCTGAGGATTTCCCAGCCCAGTGCAGCCACAGTGTGTTAACTCTGAAGGCTCTCGAGGAGACCCTGTTACCTGATCTGCTGGGGAAAGGGGTGATGGAAGAAACCATTTATTTGCAGAACTCAGTCTGTTTATATCCAGCTTCCTCACTAAGTTGCATGGAAGAACTCTTAGGCCTGCCAGGTTAAAGGAGCTGCAATCAACCCTGCACTGGTCTATTATGGGTTTCCTACAAACCCCTAAGCTCAGCCCTTACTCTAGGGTTTGTCTTCTTTGCTGCTGCATCTACCTGCATGTGAGTAACTGCTCCCTGGAAGGGTTTTGGGGTGTTGGGACAGATGATGGAGGTGGATCTTTGTCATCTGCCCTGGCTCCAAGCCTGATTCAGTCAGCATCCTCTTTCTCTGCCACAGAATGTTGGGCAGCTGTAGAGCTCAGTGGAGAGTGCTAACCAGACCTCTGGAGCAAGCATGGTAAACAGACAACACTCTGCCCCATCCTTAGCTGACTGGGAATTAAGGAAGTTAACAGATTAAACACTTAAAAATAACTTTCATTTCTTTCACTGTAAGTCTTTTAAGCCTCCAGCCATTTAGGAACAAAGGGGACAGTGACCCACAGCAGTGAGCTGTGTGTTAGCAACAGGCAGAGCAGTTCGAGGTGCTTTGGCCCCATCATCTTGCTCTGAATAAGCACAGATAACAAGGAACTCAGAATAGGGATTTTTAGAGCAAAAGAGTGTGAAATAGGATTAGCTGATTCACAAGAAGATGCAGTGACACTGCAGTGTATTTACTGGGGAAAGCGAAATCAATAGGACTACTCTGCTGCCAAACTGAGCAGAAAAGTCTCTTGAAGAAAATCAATCTTCTTTACAGACTCATTAATGTAAAGATCAATTCACATTAAACTGTAATTAAACAGAGAGCTAACAGGAGAAGGGTAAGTGATCTGCTGTGCCCCAGGCCAAATAGATCATGTAAAATTTGAAAACTAAATACTGGAGAATTGGAAACGGGGAGTGGCAGGGAACATGCTAGGGCTGCTTGGAAAAGGGCTGATGAGCTCAGATGGTTGGGGCAGCATGATCCTCATGGGAAGGAGGGTACTCAGTGCTATTCCAGCTGGATGTCAGGTAAGACAGGTCAAAGGCTTCAGCCAGTATCTTCCATTTGAGTTGCATGGTTTCTTGTAGAGCTTTTCCTCTTAAGTGCTTGGGATTTCTTTATAATTCTGGTTAAATTAGTCACACTGTTAAGATTCTGATCCTTGTCTGTGATTTTCTTTGACTCTTATTAACCTTTGTACTAGATTAACGTTGACTGGTGTTGGAAGTCAATAATGTGGCAGAATCAGGATTGCACTATTGAGCTGTTGCCTCATTCCTCCACAGTGAAGGCTTGGGAAAGCTGCTGTTATTTTAGTGCTGTTTGCACTGCTTCACTTGTGGTGTCAGACAGGGTTTGCAGATACTTTCTGAAAACCCATGCGGTCCATTAGGTTCTTTGAGCTGCTGTTTTGCTTTCATCCAAGACAAAGGTGTCCTTGCTTTGTCAGCTGAAACCATGCAGGCAGCCTGTGCTCTGCTCCTCTGAGTGGGATCTCACAAATACAAATACACCTTCCTTTCTGCAAGATTTCCTGGGAGCTGGGGTGGTGGGCTGAGATCTGTGACTTCACTCCATCTTTGCTTTTCAGGTTAAGGTGTTGCAGACTGTTGAGCATCAGGGCTGCAAGCTGCAGTTCTGCCAGGGTGACCCTGTTAGAGGGACGGGCTCAGAGCTGCTGCCATCTGTGCTGCTCCTAGGGCTCAGCTCAAGCCTGAGCTGGTCTCTACACGAGGTGTGAGCTCACTTTGTGTTCCTGGCTAGGCCAGAGTAAAAGGCTCTGTGTGGGCGGTGTTGAGAGCTGGGAAGTTTGGCTTGCAGGAGGAATGAGGTTTGAGCTCACAGACAGCACAGACACAGCCTTGGAGGCCATTTGTGGCCTGGGATCCTGCTGTGCTAATTGCTGTACAAACAGAACAACTGCCTTGACCCCCAAGGGGTTTAATCTGCAAGTCATCTTTGCTGGAGTTAAAAAGGGATGATCTAACAATTAGAAATAAGGAG